TGAGCGCAAAGGAAAGGTTAGCAACTGAGGAATACTCTATATAACTTATCATTTTCTAGGTATTACAATAATGGTGTAATGAAGAATATAAGGTTTGTACTTATATTAATTTTTATAATACCCGGTAATTATTGTTTTCTTTAACATAGAAATCAATAAAGAAGCAGAAAGTATACATAGTCCATCAGTCACCTCTACATAAAGGTATAACTTCTTCATGTTGGTATTGTATTATTGTATTCACTTTTTTTAGTCATAACTCATGAGACAAAGGCTAATCAATGAAGCAATTCAAGACAGAAAACAATAGATAACTTATTTTATTTTTTGTGATTTTTAATATTAAATTTAAAATTATTATAGTGATTAATTAATAGTAATAACAATGAATATATAATGAGTTCAGTCATGAATCACTCCCGTATACGGAGTGATACAGGAAGATTTACAGAATGTAGCTATCCCGTAGCTACGGTGATGATACTGTAATTGCCAAAAGTTGGTGTATCTTAAAGATATACGGTATCTGATACATAACTGATATCTTAACTGATACAGAAAAAAATTCTTGGCTGTGTAGGGCGTAGCTGATCTGAGCAAAAACATAACATTAACCAAACGAAGATGTTGCTTCAGTCATGTTGTTCTTTTTTGTGTTTTACGCTATATTTAGTCACTCTTTCTCCAATTTGTACCGAGGCAGGTATGTTATAATCTTGTAAAACTAACCCTCTGTACGATTCTGTTTCTTTTAAATATCATAAACCATGACAATCTCTAGTTTATGATGGGCATCTCTATAGCATCAGATAATTGTGGGTGTATGAGTCCAGCATAATGGGTGCACTTGCTACTATTTTATCAGGGGCGGATCTAGGATTTAATTTGGGGGGGCAATTATGAGGTGTGGTCAAGTAAGCTTGTGCAGAACATTGTAGAACCATGGCAGACCTTTTAGGAAAGTCAAAATTATTGTACGGTATAAAATTCCATGGAGTATTTAATTTCACAGATTTCGTGGGTAACTTCTTAACCACAAAAATTAATACCATGGAAATGCTCACTGCGCATGTGCAGCATGTGAAAATCAATGACTTAATGCGAGGCCATATGCAAACACAAGTAAATTGACTCCCTCGAAATTAAAGAATTTCCCTAAGTCGCCAGCATCACGTTGCCTCGGGTATGAAGGCCTAAAGGCCTCCATACACTAGGCAACATGTTGCTGGCAACTTCTGTGGTCACTTTGATCTTGTGTCTAAGAATAGAATTCTGTTCTAATTTTGGAACAAAATGATTACAAGATCAAAGTAACCACAGAAGTGCTAGA